GAAGTGGCCAGGTGCATGCTTACCACGCCACGGTAAAGGACCGGATCGGAGGCGGAACACTGACTTGTACATCGGCTGGCCCTAGGTCATTGTATAGGTCACGTCGCCTTCAAAAAGCCACCAGATTCTGAATGGGATTGGAATGCGTACCGTATCCCATAAGGGACTTAATAGCGGAATTTATCCTTTGTTCCCATGGCATGTAGAACAGAATATATTTTTGAGCTAGTGGAGCAAAGGAGTGTGAAGGGGGCTCATCGCTCAACAATCTCCCTTACGGATCCGCCGCGCATTCCAATCCGACTCAGGACCACAGCAGTGTTTGATCCAATTTTCGGGCCTTAAAGAAGCGCTGTGGTTGGGTGATGTGTATAGTTGCCCTATTCTCTAGTAAAAAAAATGGCCCCGGAGGAAAGGAAGGCTAGGTTGGTTGAGCTGGAATCGGCTACTAATTTGACCGAGGAGTCCCATTCTGAGTAAGGGCTGTTTATAACTCTACATACCTTCTTGCCGCGGTGTGTAAAATCCAATTCCGTTTCTCCAAATCATTGGAGGATTGACTCATTAATTTCAGGGACGTGCGTCGTTTGGTAGTAGCTCTGTCTCGAGCTCGGCTTGGTCTGTATGTGCTGTGTCGAGCCAGTCTGTTCCGCAATTGCTTTGAACTTACACCCGCATTCAGTATTGTACGTTATGACTTCCCTTGGTTGTCGCATTATTTTTATTTTTTTATTTTTATTTTGAATTTCATTTTTGTACCATTGCAGCTATGTCAACGACCTCCTCGATTACTAATCATCCCCAGCGAGCCGTATCCAACCAAGAGGAAGGTAATTCTGGTCTTTCTCTCTCACTCTCAAATTCTCTCTCTCTCTCTCACTTTTTATTAATCAGATTGAACTGCCAGAACTGCTGAAATACTGCTGATTGTATTTAGAGTGGAGAGAAATCTAGTGATGAAGTCATAACGATCGAAAATACTGTACATATGTCAACATTTGTGCATGACTTCTACGTGAGCAATATGGAAGCAATGCGTGTCAATTATGAAAAGGCTATGGAAGAATATCGACGCCAAGTGCAGGTGAGTCAAAGCCAAATGTTGGCGAAGGTGGCTCAGAGGCTTTATTCATGCCCACATAGTGGTAGAAAGAGCGAGGCGTTCGGCTTCAACCAGTACCATTAAGGAAAAGCGCTACGCACTCAGTTTTCACTGAGAATCTTGATACCTTGAATCCAAGTTGGTTTATATGATGGCTTGCGAGAGGTCATACGAAGTGCGAAACTGGTTTCTTATTCGAAGTATGTGACAATGTAATCGAAAATCGTGTTGGGCGGTGTGACGAGACGGTCG